ACGACCACACGTCCATCCCATCCCTGTCCGGCCGAGGGATTAATGGCAAACTTCCATCACGCAGTCTGCCATCTTCCACGGAATGCCGCCCTTTCCACGCCGACTCCACCGCAGTACTATGGCTTGAGTCACGGCAGCCCGTCCCCGACAGGCATCGTCCCGGGCGAGAAGGTAGGCTGAAGGTAGGCGGGGGTGCACGTACCGGACCGTGAACTTTCCTATCTCGAACGACCGCTAGCTCATTACTTCCCGTCGACACATCCCTCCCTTTATATATCGGACGCCGCCTTTCCCTCCAGCCTCTTCATCACTTTCGCTGTTGAGGTTTACTTTTGTATTTGATCGTCCACCGTCTGTCGCTGACCGTATATCATCTAATACTTTCGCTTCATCCTCCGTCAACAAACAACCCTCAAACATCAACATGCGTTCCGTCTTCGCCCTCAGCATCGCCGCCTTCACTGGCCTGGTCGCTGCTCAAGACACCCCCCAGCTGAACTACCCATACACCATCGACCCCGACACGGTTGAGCAGTCTACTAGGGGTATGTAGAAGTTATCATTCGATCTACGACGCGTCGTCTAACATCCTCCAGATTACTGGTGTGATCAGAACAGGGCCCAATGCCCGCTCATCTGCCTCCAGCAGCCCGGCATCAACTCCATGACCACCGAGCAGAACGACTGCGACTCCGACGCTCTGACCTACACTTGCGTCTGTGAGAACGGTGTCGCGCCCAACATCACCGAGTACTCCCAAACACTGCCATACTTCATCTGCCAACAATGGGGAAACACTTGCGTCGAGAACTGCAACGGTGACAATAGCTGCCAGAGCGCTTGCCGGTACGTTGTATCAAGTCACCCATCACAAACACAACTAACATGTCAACAGTGAGGACCACCCTTGCGGAGCTCAAGACCCGTACCGCGGCAACACCTCCCTCCCCACCACCATGTCCTCCACCGCCGCCGCCACCGGCACCGACGGTTCCGCCTCAAACACCATCCCCGTGACCGGCTTCGGTGGTGCCTCTGAGACCGGCTCCAGCGACAGCAACAACAACGGAGGCTCCAACGACCAAGGCGGCGCTGGCTCCATCTTCATGCCCAACGCGGGCCTCGGCCTCGCCGCCGTCTTCGGCAGCGTCTTCCTCGGCTTCGCCGTCCTCTTGTAAAATCTAGGACCACATAATCTCGCCGCGCAATCTAAGCTTCGTCCATCTTCTGTCCTTTCTTCATGCATAGCGTCTTTCTGCATAAAAAGCATCACCAGTCCTTTCGGTTAGCTCGATACCCAGCTTGGGCCTTTTCGCTCATTTTACATGACAGCCTGGCAAGGCTTTGTCTTTGGTTGTACTGCATGGGGTTCATGGCGTATATTTGTAATGGATGATGGTGATGGGATGTTGGTTCACTGGCCCCAGGGGCAGAGGTAGCATTATCTAGTATGCTGTTGTAATACATTGAACGCCGAGGTGTCGCGGATGAGGAACTACTATGTCTTCCTATGTGCTATGTGACTATGCGGTGTGATGAGTTCAATTTACATATGAATCAGAGGCACAACCCGAATAACACCACACAAACCTAGAGGTACACTTTTGGAGGCGATTCGTCCCACCAGCACCTCCCCTGTAGACTCTTCCTCGGACTTCGCTGTCGCGGAGGACAAGTTATAACGCTCGCTCTTCCCTGCTCAATATACACAGCGCGTAGATCCTGACTCCCTTCCAAACTACCAGTCCGTCGCTTAACAGGCGATGGTACCGCTTCCAGTCCCGGTGAGGAAGAGGGAACAGGGCTTGGAGGCGCAGGATGCGTGATACTAAAATCTGGCGCATCATCCACATGCTCCACGGCTGAACTATACTTGCTAGCCAGAGAAGAACACGCACTGAACCGCGAAACGGGTTCTGCGGGTTTGCTGGCCAGAGACGAACAAGCACTGAATCGCGAGACGGGCTGTGCGGGCGTAGGCGTAGACAGATGCTCGACGGAGACGTGAAACATGCGTGATGAACTGCTTGATCCGGATCGCTGGAGCAGGGCTCGTTGAGGCGGGCCTAGATGCAGGGTTTGCATGGTATCCAGAGACGGAACAAGAGTAGGATCGAGAGAGGGTGAGGAAGGCGCTGTATCTGGACGGTCACCATGACGGAGGAGCTCGGCTGTTGATGAGGTGAGGGATGGAGGGAGAGTGGGTGAGTCGTCTAGAGGTCGTGCTGAGCCTTCCGGGAGTATGGATGAGCGGCGGCTGTTGTGGTGGGAAGATGGGATGGAGATGGGTTGAGAGTGCCCGTTTGCGCCCACTTCGATTGTTGCCGTGCCGGGTGTGTTCACGATGTCGCGTGCGCGTTGGAGGAAAATGCTGGTTGCGACAGGCATTGGGTTGGTAGAGTCGAAACTAGAAACCGACGAGGAGGAGGCTGTGGAGCTAGTCGATGACCGCCGCTGCACGCGTGGAGGCGCAGGTGTGGGTGGTACAAGACGCACGCTCAGTTTTCTTGCTGTGGGCGTTGGCCTTGAAGGTATGACAGGCTTGGGCCTTATGGGTATGGTTTGTTCCATCGGTGATACTGCAGCTGACGACGGCGTTGAAGGGCCAGCATGCTGGTCAGATGCTCCAAGAAGCAAAGTCCCATATTCCGTTAGAGGGAGTTTGACTGGATCTGATGAGGTCTCTCGATCAGTATGGAGGAGTTGGTCTTGAGAGGTTGATCCAGCTTCTTCATCGTATTCCATCCGTCCCTTGCCTTTCTCTGCTTTGCTGAATCGTCGAGGTCGCAACAAATCGCTAAAGCTGAATTGGGAGTCTTTCCGCTTTCGTCCTCCATATCTCGTACTTTGCGTACTATGAGACTGGAGGCTATGAAGCTGCTCCAGTTCGCCATCTCCATCGTAGTGTAAGTCGCAGTTCGACTGTGTTTGCATGGTGTTTCTTCGTCTCGCCTGGAACGTTGTCTAAAGGGTGTATCAGTTAGCAGTGATGTGGAAGCAGCCAAGCCTACTTCGCCATTGACATGAGAGTGTTCGCTTACATTTGGTAGGGAAGCCACACTCATCCCGACGTGATCCCCGGGATAACGCTGGATATGCGAGTTCTCTGACGGTCCACTCAGGGTATGGAATACACTTGGGCGTTCGCTGACAGTAGCGTTGAATGATGTGTGTACATCCTCGACGGATCCTCTTCGACTACCAAAGAGGCGTCTAAGCTTTGCGTTGACCTTCTCTATGATCTCGGTGACTTGTGATGGTCTTCGTGGATGAATTTCGTTCTCGGGTGTAGGGGGTGTGGTAGGCAGGGTAGAGTAAGCACTGTGGAAGTTTGAACTGGGCCCAGTCATGGCTATGTTGTAAACTGGCGGTGGCAAGCAAGGACAGTCGATCGCTGTCTCACGACCGCTCGAGTGTATTCTTCTTTGTTTCTTGATGTAACCACGCGTTTGGAGGAATGATTCTGATACTTGTCGTTTCAATGAAAGCTTTGGAGGGTATGGCAATTGGAAGAATTCTGGGTCCACTTCTGTTTCGCTGATGTTGAAAATTACGCAACGCTCGTCGGGAAGTGTGTTTCCAGGTGCTTGGGATGTCATAGCATTGGAAAGCTAGAAGCTGATGGCGGAGATGACGATGAGAGCGAAGCAGACAGGAATTTGTTGACCGATACCAGTGCTCGATAGTCGGATGACTCTTATTACTTTCATAGCCTAGCGATAAGTACGGTACGATCAGCAAGAGCATGCGGGTGCCGCCAATGACCAAAGTCTTTCACTTGTACCAATGAACTCCGCCAATGATGTTCGATCGAAAGATACCAAATTGTTGATACAGTCGAAGGGCTTGACTAAACAACAATTCGTGTGGTTAGTGGCAGTTTGGAAGTCCAGCGAAGCAATCTGGAGCAGATAAGCAGGTCCTGCACGCTGCACACGCACGCGAGAGCAGCGTGCATCTCGAGCGTTCCTGGGAAAACTGGCCTATGAGAGTCACCCGTCATACATCAGTGCCATGGTAGAGACCGCTGCCGTGGTGACTTAGGTGGAAAAGTACCGTGCCTATCATCTTCAACGGGCGATACCCTGCAGGATACAGGCATATCGTCATGATTACCACCACGGAAGTTATACTGGATGATCAAACAGCATTGATCAGGCTGGTTGCGAAGAATTCGAGTGCGAAGGAGCTGAGAAACCGCAGGGAATGGTATGATATTCTGAGTAGCTCAATGTCAGTAACCACTGCCTGGCACTGGGCAACGGCCAGATGATCAATGGAGGGGTGTGAGCATCAGCTGCAGAGACTTTGCACCTTGGATAGCCGTTAGCATCGATGGAACTCGTAAATCTCCAGACGTCATCGTTGTCGTCGTCAGAAGCATCCTTGGAAGAAGTCCGAGGATTTCAATTGGAAGCAAAGATATGGTTGTGGTTTGGCTGTGGGGAACCTTGGAAGGTGGAAGAAGCCGGCGCTAATACCGCGGCAGGTCGACGCGACTTGCCTTGATGACATAATCTTAGCGTGTCTGGCTGCAAACATGTCAAACATAGCATGATGACACCACCATTCCGACTTTCGCGGTTCGCGAATCGAATACGTCCGTCCATGTCACGATAGTCTTCAAAGGCCCGTGATGCCGCCTCGAATAATACCAAGGGGGCCCAGGGCTCTTTCGTCACGATCGGCGGTCTGGGTCCATGTGCGGCCTCAGCGGAGGTTTGCTTCGAGCTCCGCAAATGCGCCAGAGGTCTACGATGTCGTCTGCGTAGGAGGCGGGCCGGCAGGATTGAGTCTACTGACAGGACTAAAAGCGTCGCCAATTACAAGTGGGCTCAAAGTTGCGCTCATCGAGGGACAAGATCTACACAAAAGTCGACTGCCACAAGATGCGACTTTGGAGAGCTTTTCGAATAGATGCAGCTCCCTCACTCCAGCTTCTGTGAAGAACTTGCAGGGTACGAATAAACGTATTAGATGTTCAACAGTTCTCCTCTGACATGCGCGGTGTAGAAATTGGAGCATGGGCGCATGTTAACACACCCCGAGTGCAACCATACCAAGAAATGCAAGTGTGGGACGGCGTCACCGACGCGCGAATATCCTTCGATTGGCACACAGCGAAACCTCTCCTCACGCCTCGCAACCCGTCTCAGCCTACAACAATCGCCTACATGATCGAAAACGTCAACACGGTCACCGCTCTACTAAGCCGGCTCGAACAACTGGGTGGTGTCGATTTCTACACATCTACAAAGGTCAACTCGATAGATCTGGGTACGGATACAGACAAGATGGACTTCTCGTCGTGGCCAATCCTCACGCTGTCCAATGGGAAGACACTGGCTGCTAGGCTATTGGTTGGGGCCGACGGTGCGAACAGCCCCGTACGGACATTTGCAGACATTGAGTCACGAGGCTTCGACTATAGCAGAAATGGTGTGGTTGCTAGTCTGAAGCTCGAGGGGCAAGGTTGGGGCGGTCCAGACCACAAGATTGCATACCAGCGGTTCTTGCCAACAGGCCCAATCGCTATGCTGCCACTTCCAGGCAACATGTCGACACTCGTATGGAGTACCACGCCGGAACGTGCTGCGAAGCTCAAAGCACTATCACAGGCCGATTTCGTCGCAATGGTCAATGCGGGTTTCCGACTTTCGCCAACAGACCTGGAGTATCTACACACCCTCTCATCCGGACAGGCAGAGGAGGTAGCATGGCGAGAGAAGCATACGCCCGTCGACGAACACGCGATACCGATGCGAGTAGCACACGTGCAAGACGGCACAGTCGCGTCCTTCCCACTTCGAATGCGACACGCCGATACCTACACTGGTGAACGAGTCGCACTGGTTGGTGACGCCGCGCACACGATACATCCACTGGCAGGTCAAGGTCTCAACCAAGGCCAAGGTGATGCTGCAGCGCTTGTACGGACGATATCACATGCAGTGCAGACCGGACAAGACATCGGATCGACATTGGCGTTGGAGAGCTATACCAGTGAACGGTATGCGGAGAATAATGCAATGCTGGGCGTGTGCGATAAATTGCATCGTCTGTATAGCGTCGAATCGGGTCCACTCGTAGGGCTACGAAGTCTCGGATTGAGAGCAGTCGATGCAATGGGCCCGTTGAAGGGTTTCTTCATGAGCCGGGCTGCCGGCGGATCGTAGGATTCTGTACCTGTATCTGTATCTGTATAAGTGTCTGTATATAGGCTGCCAACGCAGCAACCAACCCAACATTTTCACACGACTATCATTCCCGAAATGCTGTTCCGCGCCTCTCTACTGCTTACCTATCGTCCCGAAGTTCCTTGCAAAGAGCCCCACAAATAATCTAGCACTACGGCACCTCGAGGAAACGTTAAGAACAGACTTGTCCTACCTCAAGCGGACATCGGATTCGCAGCGAGCTTTCATCATCGACCATGGCGGACCATCAAAACGAAATTGAGACGTTCGGCAGCAACGACGACTTCTGGATCTTTGGATACGGGTATTTACCTGCCTATGCGTTTCGAACACGTTTAGCCGAAAAGCTAACGCCTCGGTCGTAGGAGCTTGATATGGAAACCACCGCCACACTACGGTACGGCCCGAACATGGCATGATGTCGAAAAGCAAACATGCCATCTTGACTTCTCGTCTCAAAGAGAGAGCCATTCCTTGATCTGACAGTGGAAATCCAGATCAGCGTATTCCCGGCTACATTGAAGGATACGTGAGGAGATTTTGGCAGGTATGTGTGTTTTTTCCTTGGCTGGTGCCAGATATGGCACGATATGGTACGATGAAAAAAAAGTTCTTGACTGACGATCGTATGTAGGCGAGGTATGGATGGAGACTCTCCAACTGAATCGTGGAGAAGCGGGGTTGGAGTAATGGCTAATACGGAGGTGCTACAGTGAAGATCACCGCGGTACGCCCGAAGCTCCGGGACGCGTTGTCACGTTGATCGATAAAGCGCATTGGGAGACTTTGACGGATACTGTAAGTTATGCGTTCGTTATTATTCGATCTGTGAGAGTTGCAGCTATATGCCCAGATCTGCCCTCTGCAAGAAGGCCTGGTACTAAGGGCAATAGCATGAGTCCACCGAACGCGTCTGGGGCGCCGCATACCACATCCCAGCTTCGAAGGTGCAAGAAGTACGCCAGTACCTTGATATTCGCGAGATAAACGGGTATTCGATTCAATTCACGCCGTTCCATCCTGCTATCAGCACCTCAGAGGTCACGTCTCCGCCGCACGATTCCGAACCAACTGAAGCCGAAGCTGGCATGCGGGCTGGCATCAAGGCCACTAACACCATCGCCGTGAGAGAGGAGGCGGGAAGTGTTAGATGTTTGGTTTATATTGGGTTACCGGAGAATCCGCAGTTTTTGGGTGCGCAGGATCCGGATGCGTTGGCGAGGAAGATTTTGGAGAGTATGTTTTATTTTATTTCCATGTTGACTGGACGTGCCGCATCTGCTATGGTTTGTCATACTGACTCTATCACAGGCAAAGGTCCGAGTGGCGAGAACAAAGAGTACCTCTACAACCTGGAGACTGCACTGCTTGGTTTGAGCTACAATAGCGGAGATGCTCATGTGAGCGACTTAGTAAGGCGATGCAAAGCGCTGGAGAAAGAAGCTGGAATCGGGAATGATCACGGAGACGGCGGTGCCGAGGGGTTGTACAGAGTAGGAAGCACCGAAGAACAAGAGGAGGTCGAAAAGTAAACTCAGAAAGCAACGGACAAGTCCGTAATGTAACATTGCATCCGTGGATGTGGCGATACGCACGTATACAACAACATCAAGCCAACCGAGGCTTCTGCGAAAGTCGCTGGTGATTATGATTACGAAGCAGACTAGCCTGCATGTGACCAGCCATAACGCCAGATATATGCATGATGCGCTTAGAATATACAAGAAGAGAACTTTGGGGACTATGCCCATGCGCCGACTAGTGCCATTAGCAACGCCCCTGCTACGACACTGGCACAGGCCTGTAGTCGCCGCTTCCCCTGTAACGTCACGTAGCTTTCGTCGCTCAAGAAATCTTCAGCAAGGAGCTCCACCAAGCCAGCGAATAGCAACAAGCCACTGGATATGGCGTTCATGAATCCCACGGTTAGTAAGCCAGCTTCACTTGCTGGATCGTACAGGGTGTGTATAGCTAAACCTATTGCCTGGCCAATGGGTGTGGTGGTTCCGTAAGCTAGAGCCATTAGCCACGGTTTCGGCGATCCGGCTGGAAAGCGAATGGCGCTGATTCTGGAGCCGAGTGCGAAGCCTTCGAAGGTTTGGTGGAAGGAGATGGCTATGAGGAAGACAATGAAGGCGGTGCCAGTGGCGACCGAGAGCGCCATACCTATGAAGATGGAGTGGAAGAGGATTCCAGCTTCGAGCAGTAGACATTGCAAGAGCAGTTTCTTGTTCTGGGCTTCCGTTTTCTCCACATCTTCAGAGGATTCGCCGCCAGGTTGGTGGGCATGATTGTGGGCATGAGGGCCGGGCAGCAGGCGAGACTCGTCTTCTGAGTTCTCCTCATCTTGACGGGCGAGCTCTTCCCTGCTTATCTCAAGATCTGAGTCATTGTCGTCGTCAATGGACTTCCGGCTTATCGAATCATTAGGCGTCATCGGCGATGCGAGGGAAAACGACGGCGATCGGCCTGCCATCAGATTGGCTGAAGATTCGACATCGTGCAGCATGATGCCCGGTATGTGGCCATTCGCTCCTGGTGTGCCGTTGCTGAACCTCCCATAGCTATGGCTCCTCTTATGGCCGGGGCGCGCAGCCGCAGCGTGATCGTCAAGGCCTAGGTTTTCGTAGCCAGTCGAATGCGAATGGCCTGCTCCCCTCGATGCGAAGAACATCTCCACGCCCACTACTACAAAGACTGATGTCATGGCTATTAAGCCCGGCATGGCCGAGTAGCCCTTGTTCCAGAACGGGGGTAGACATGGGTCGGTGAGGGACTCGAAGGCGGTAGGCAGGAGATGGACGAAGGCAGTCGCGATCAGGACACCCGTGCCGAAGTGTCTAGATATGAAGAGGAACTGGTGGGGAACGGGTATCGAAGGAAAGCGCTTGACGACCACGGGGAAGGAGCAAGCTGTGAGACGGTCAGCAGTGCATTGGAAGGTATGCGAAGAAACGTACGAACCCGCAGTGCTAAGTGTGAGTATTAAGAACAAGGCGAAGACATGTATGGGGGTGTTGTAGTAGCCCTTTGCCCCTTTGCTTCCGCATTCTGGTCGCTCATCGTTGTCCTGCTGTCTTCGGAGCAATTCCGCGTGGAGGACATGCGCAGGTATTTCCGAAAGGCCTATGTTACAATGACATGGTCAGTATACGAGCGCCACAGTCAGCAGAATAAGCAGCCATGTCCTACCTGCTAGAATGCCGTCTGCCTGCATGGCGGTTGTTGAAAGAGCTTCCGAGCATCAAGGTACGCGCGGTTCCGTCGCGCTTGCCCAGTAGGTGCCGGGGTCCGGAGCCTCTATTGTTCCTCGGCCTTGCACCTATTCACGTCCTCGTCGGGTCCGCATTCCGACAGATTCACTTCCTTTCGGACTGCAAACCTATTTGTACGTGTGTTCGGGGGTCCAACATGCACTCTGGACGAAAAAGTATTTCCGAACGCGCCGAAAGCCAGGGGTGCGTCATACCTGGTATGTCGCGAACCTCAGATGTCATGCTACCGACAATCGAAGATCTAGTATCCATACAAGGTCTGGGCCCACGCTTGAGAGTCTGCCTTGTATCATAGGAGACTACCGTGCCCCGGCTCCTGTTAGCATCGGTTGTGGCGTCTTTCATGTCCATCTCCAGTTTTCTGGACAGCAGGTCCTGTAAACATCACGCAACGTTAGCCACCGGCCGTGGCCGGTGCTATTTTTGATCCTTCGGTAACAGCGACCCGCGAGCTCCATCGTCTACATATATAGACAGAGACCCTGCGTTGTTCACCGTGTCGTGGAACTATCTGGCGTACGGGTTTGGGACGGCGCAGCTGCATCATCATTCGAGAGATTGGCATCGGCGCAGGCACCCCGTCACACCCGACTTCGCTTCTGCAGCCTAACACGAATCGGGTCCTTGATAGTTTCACGTCTCGCGCCCCTCCATCGCCTCCAGTAACACCAAGGACGATACCGCCGCAGCCCAGCGTCGTCACGGCACATGTCGGTACCAAAATGTTGACCCGCGAGCATGGACTGGGAAAGTCTGGACTAGTCACCACGCGCAACGTCGTCCCGGCTACACCCTGCTAAGCCCCACCATCTACATCCTCTCTGAACAGGACAATACGGCATATTGCTAGTTCTGTAACGGGAAGAACCGCTGGAGGGCCTGAAGGAGCCACCAAAGGGAGACCGGGTGGCTCTGACCGACAATGTCTGATCAGCGCGACTTTTTGTTCGTCGACGCAGCTCAAGCGAAGACGTCTCGCCAAGGTCGTCGCAATGCTCGTTCTTTTGTCATGCAGAACGCCCGCAGGAAAAACCCATGGTCAACAAGCAAACATGCTGCGAAGCAAAGGAAAACTGGAAGCTCAGAAAGCGCAAGTCCTAACAGTACATGTGCGTCTACGTCAAACAAGGCGACGCCAAGCCCTCCAATTGTTGCGAACAGGTCTGATTACTTTTCTTCCCCAGAGTCTGAAGATTGTGCGATAGCCAAGAGGGACATTTGTCCAGAGTGTCAGATTTTCCTGTGCCGCCCGGGTGAGGGATTCTGCCAAAGATGTTTGCTGGTCAAGCCTGCGGCGCCTGCAGAAGACCCAAACAATCAGCTTTTCGATCCTTTTCGGACTTCATCCGTCGAAGTAACCCGCAGCGTGTCGGAACTGTTGAAGCATTGTAAGTGGCTGTCCCTGCATCTCTCCTTCCATCAAGATATCCAGTTCGCTGGGTTCGTAGCACGACAACCCTGTACAACGGCGTAGAGAGTGCGAAGTCTAGATTGCATCCGATTGCATGGCGCCAAACATCTCAATGCCCGGCATTGTTGGTACTCAAACGCTGACTTGAACTGTGTAGTTTCCACGGAGATGGCGCCTGGTATCATCGCCGTCGACGTCCGGCATCGTTCTACTCTGATGAAGTCGGACTGGTTCGGCACGGCGATAAGTAATCCAGGCTTCATGCACAGTCTGCTTGCTACAGTCGCGCTGCACGCTTGGGTGTTCGGAAAAGATACCATTGATGCAATCTTGCACCATCGAGCACAGGCTATTGCTGCTGTCAATGCAGCGATACTAACACCGGATGGAATATCGGACGCAAACATTGGTGCAGTGTTCAACTTACTCACCATAGAGGAGAGTCTCCGTGGGCCGTTTTTCGATTTACACGAAGACCACGCAGTCCAAATCGAGATCCATCGAACGGGGCTGCAGAGAATGGTACAGCTGCGTGGAGGACTAGGAGCAATCAAAACGAATCGCATTCTTCAAGCCTTTATGCTTTGGTGTGTAGCCCCTACTTCCACGTTCTGTCCAGGACCGGTTTGGCATGTGCTTACTGAGCATCAGGCATTCGACGGCTCACGCTATTAACGATTTCCAAGCGCCAAGCCCCTCTACATTGGATTTCATCAGCACGGCAGGCTTCCCACGTCATCCACCAGGCTACAAATCGAACATTTCTCAACATCTGACGGATTATTGTCGGAATGCGGGTATCAAAGAACCACTTAATGCCTTGGTGGAATTGGTACTTTCCCTGATTGCCGACCTGAACGTCTGGTTCAGTGATCCTGAGAGCCCTCTGGACCCTCTCGACATTCAGAACTTTGCATGCGTTTTGGAATGCTCTCTGCTAACATGGCTGCGCAAAAACGAACATCTTGTCACCCCTCTCGAAGACGCGCTATGCGTTGCGCTACTCATCTTTACGGTGCGGACGACCGAAGCGTTTAAGCGACAGTCTCACGTCCATCTGCTCCACTCTGCAGCGAGCAAGCGACTGGAGAAAGCGCTGAACTGCACTATTCGTACCGAGTGGCAGCATTGTCCCGACCTTCTACTCTGGATACTTTCTATCGGTGCGATATCAGCGGAACCCTCGCCAGACAGCACATGGTTTGTGTATCAGACCTCGCTTGCCTGTGCGGAATTTGACATCCCATCGGCGGAAGCGCTTCTCGAACGACTCCATCTCTGCGGCTGGGTTAGCTACAAGCTCAACGACGCTGTGTGTCAGTTATGGGCCAGGGTTGTGAATCTCAGGTTAGATGACCGTACATTCTTGCCTATGCATTCGCCTGCTTATACTTGAGTTTTTCTTGTACGTAGGCTTGCGCCGTTTTTCGAAGCGCCCTTGAAAGCTGAAGACGCCAATAGCCCTGTTGGGCCGCTGCAACATCATGTTGCCGAGCCCGATCTCAACGCTTGGGAAAGCATCGACTGGGCTGCGCTCAGTTTGGGTCTCGACGATCATAACCAAGGGCACGCCAACAACTCTGGCGGTGGAGACGCAACAGCAGAGCCTTGCGGTTCTGGAGTACCAGAGGATTCCTCGCATGTCTTTGGTAGTGGCTACGGGTTTACTTGTATGTGCAACTTCCATCACTCTCAACTTTTACTAATACCCGCATTGCTGGGTGCTAACCTTCGTGGCGAACACGCAGGGCCTACGACGCAACATCCTTATGCGCACTGGATGAATGGATCGCAAAACCATCACGAACAATAAGCGAGGGACTTAAATGTGTTGCATTCTCGACTG